TTTGCGGAAATAAAAAAGTAAAATATGACGAAAATGCTCGTTATTGGACTCCATACTAAAACTGACGCCAAACTAACAATTTTTAACAAAAACACTTGTAATTTGCTTCTAAAGTCAACTAAAAGTGACAGATTACAAACGTTAAAAGAAAAAAATCATAACATTGACAGAAGACATTCAAACAGGCGCTTAAAGCCAACTATTGGAGCCATCGGCAATTATTTTTCGGGCAACCTAATATATATGTGGCGGTCGAAACAACCGGCGATAAAAACAACGGCTGTTCACAAGCGTAATTTGTTTTTCGTATTTTGTTTCGTGATTAATTTGTTCTTCGGCGTCCCTGAGGACCCCTGAGCGTTCACTCTTGTTTGATACCTCAAACGTCGCGGACGCGCTCGCGAGTGTTCCTCGCCACCGATTCTCTTCGTGAATTGTATTCGACGCTCCAGTCTAGAGATTCTGTTTGCGCCCCGTCTCTCGCAAACGCGCGTTAGTGCTATGCGCCCGGGAGTGTCTTTCGTCGTACAAGAGCCTTTTCCGACGGCCTTCCTCGCGGTCGACGCCGTCGCGCCCCTTGTGCGCGATTTCCTTTCCGTGCCTCTCCCCGCGAGTGAGAGAGAACCGCCGTGGCGACCTAGCGAGCCGATCTCCTAGCGCCTCGTTTTCTTTATTCAGCGTTCCCTATTTTGTTTAACGTTGCGTTTTTAGTTTTTAGTTTATAGAATTCCTTCCCATTCCTTTTTTGTGTCACGTTGCGAGTTTTAAATTTCTTGTAAATACAGCGTTTCGTGTGAACAGTTATAAAGACTCCGCATTTATTTGCGCACACCTCAGCACTGCTTCCGTTCACTAACTTTTTCTTAATAGCAGCTTTCGCTAAATATATATATATATATATATGTATTTAATATATATGATACCATATGGATGGTATAAGGGGTGCAGTCTTCAAGCTCTAATTCTCGAAATGTTCCATGAAGATATTTGCAATTGAGGGTATAGACGAACCCACTGTTGTTCCCAATATTTGTTCAAAGAAGTTTCCTTGTAACTGGAAATGAAGTTGAAGTTAGGCTATATTCTATTAATAGAAAGAGGTTGGCGGAGATTTTGCTGGATTTCTTAATGCTTAGTGTGTCCTGGCCAGGTACACTAATGACCAGCGAGACTACATCATAGCTCACCAAGATATGGTAGGTTCTTGTTTTAATTTTGTTGATTTCGTTCACAAAGTCCATCAAGTTCTTGATGTGAGAATGACTCAGCCCAATAAGTTCTTGGAGAGGTTCAGTGAGATAGCGGGCTAGCTGAAAATTTGATTCATCAATATCGTTGACAATGGGACGTAGGGGAATTGATTCTTAACGGATTTTGGGAAGATCATTAAATCTAAGTGCTGCTGAATCCCGGGGGATCAGGTTTTTGATAATTTGGGGAGGGAGATCTGTATTTTTGAGGAGAGGTTTTTTTCTTCTCTAAGCTGGCGGTCGGGTTGCGTTTTAGTTTCTTGTAAACTTTATGGTTTTAAAGGTCGTTGACTTTATTGAGGTAGTCTTGGCCATAACCACCGTGGCGTTTCTTTTACCTGCTGGCAATTAGGATCTTGTTGTTTCGTTTTAAACTTTGAAGTGCTAAGCGTTCTTCTCTGCTTATGTTTTGTTTAAGAAGATTAACCTGGTGTAAGATGTTGGCCGTCCAATTTCTAATGTCACTACTTGTCTCTGGGAGAAGGTGAACAATGGCTGTTTCAATTTGGCTGATAATTTCATCCGTGGGAATACTAGAGGGAGTCACTGCAAAGTTATGTCCTTTGGCGAGGATAACGACCTCGGACGGGGATAGGGCTTGGCTGCTGAGGTTCTGTGTGAGAACTGTGATTTGGCCCTGTGGACTAATCTTATTATACTTGCTTATTTGTTTCTATGTTCTTGTATCAGCTGCCCGGGCGGCTTATTCGTGTGTTACACGGTCAAGCATACACCACAATTCCGACTTCAATGAACTGGTAAGTGACAGGTGTAGTCCCAGAAGTTTTTGGGATGTCTCGGCTGTGCTCTTTTTTGTGGCCAAGGTTATTTCCTTTATTAACTTCAAGGACGTTTGTTGTAGGATACCTTTGGCCTGTTTCAAAGATGGAAAAGGATTTTTTAATTTAATAATTGATACTGAGTGATTGCGATATCGGTTTAGGAATTCTAAAGAGTATAGCTGGACATATAATGTTGAATGAATAACGTGACATGTTTTCTGAGTTTGGAGAATAAATTTACTAACCCTAGAATCGTTTCTCCGTGGAGATTCTTAATACTAGTTTTGAAGCTTTAACGGTCATTGATACAATCATAAAGTGCGTTGCTTCCGGAGATATGCCGCGTCTTGAATCAGCGTTCTGTTTCGCAAACATTGCAGTTTGCATCATCAGAGCTTGGAGCTTTGATACTGAACCCTCTTGGATATTGATTGTCCTTATATAATCCTATATTCTTGGAAGTAGGGGGGAGGGGGAAGAAGGATTGGTTCCATCCATTCAGCGTGTTTTTTATTAATCAGCTGACCATAAGTAGACATTATATAAGATTTAGTGACAAAGATATTAGGTGAACAACTTTGCTCCCGCCGTTTCCCTATAGATGGCTTTAGTGAAACTTAGTGGTCAAAGTAAATTGATCATATACGTCATACAATCAACTTGGGCATCTGTCAACATAACCTAATAGTTACATTAGTCGATTTGTATCTGTACCATAAAGTTATCGTCGATTGAAGATGTCAGTTTACGAGCCGAATTCTCGTCATTTGCGGGAGGTTTTACTTTTCTGCTTCAATATGAAGAAATCTGCGGCTGAGGCTTATCAAATGCTCTCAAATACCTATGGTGAGATCGCTATTAGTGAAAGAACGTGTCGTGAGTGGTTTCAATGCTTCACGAACGGTGATTTTTACGTCGAAAACCGGCTTAGCAGTGGAAGAGAAAAGATTTTTGAAGATGCAGAATTGGAAGCATTACTTGATGAAGACTCGTGTCAAACTCAGAAAGAACTGGCACCATCATTGGAAGTGACTCAACAAGCCATTTCGAAGCGCCTCAAAGTCATGGGAATGATTCAAAAGCAAGGGTATTGGGTGCCGTACGAGTTGAAGCCAAGAGATGTTGAACGGCGTTTGTTTGCTTGTGAACAGCTGCTTGAAAGGCAAAGACGAAAAGGATTTCTGCATCGCATTGTGACTGGAGATGAAAAATGGGTTCATTACAATAACCCCAAGCGCAGAAAATCATGGGGAGTTCCCGGCCATGCTTCCACATCGACGGCCAAATCGAACATTCATAGCTCCAAGGTAATGCTCTGTATTTGGTGGGATCAGCTCGGCGTAGTGCATTATAAGCTATTAAAACCAATTGAAACAATCACAGGCGATCGGTATCGAACTCAATTGATGCGTTTGAGCCGAGCATTGAAAGACAAGCGGCCGCACTACACCGAGAGACACGAGAAAGTGATTTTGCAGCATGACAATGCTCGACCCCATGTTGCAAAAGTGGTCAAGACATACTTGGAAACGTTGAAATGGGAAGTCCTACCCCACCCGCCATACTCTCCAGACGTTGCACCTTCGGATTATCACTTGTTCCGATCAATGGCACACGGCCTGGCTAATCAACACTTCCAGTCTAATGAAGAAGTCGGAAAATGGATAGATTCGTGGATTACCTCAAAAGATGACCAATTTTTTCGACGCGGGATTCGTGCATTGCCCAAAAGATGGGAGAAAGTAGTGACCAGTGATGGACAATACTTTGACTTATAACTTTATCTCCATTTTTTTACAATAAAGCCTCAAATTTAAAAAAACGGAGAGATCAAAGTTGTACACCTAATATTACCATATTCATAGAAGATAAGCAAAGGCGACCGCATAAATTAGAAATAAATGGGTGTCCCATTGACCACTATTTGAAATCGAATCTTCGCAGGGTCGTGAAAAAAACGTCTAAAACATGAAATAGTACTTCAATTGTGTTCGAATTCTGCTGTGTTTTTACCTTCAACAGCTGATGCTGCAGATCGTATTCAATATTTGTAAATTTTTTGTTCTCGCATCATGAGAACAGGCATTGCATTTCTACTTTCATGTCGTGACAGCACGATGTGCACTAATTTTACTACACTTTGATCGTCACATTGTGTTAGCAGGCCGTGTTAGTAAAAACTTAATAAGGATGCAGTCGGAATCTGCTGCAAATGCGTGATCGAATTTGCTGGCACTATGCTGGCATACTGCTGTCATTTGGCTATCTGAGTACATTATAAGTCAATAAGTAAAATGCTAGTAGTATGCAAACAAATTTGAAACAAATTCAATCAAAAATACTATAGCAACTCCATAGCCATCTCTAACGCATTAAGCTCATGTTCAGGTGACAGAGTTTACTGATATAACTCGACAAGAGATTGACGGTTAAAATTGAACAAGTTTTGCACTATGTTTCATTAATCGTGATAACAAAGTACTTCATTGCATGTTGTGCTAACATATCATACAAGCACTATATGGCTACTGTGCTATTTTATATCGACAAAAACATATCGACAGATGATGCTGGCATGGTGTTCGTACAGCTTATTAAGCACGATGTGCTGTCCATGTAATTGCCAGATGCGATTGCATCTGGATGACACAGCAACAGCATCTTTGTATATGCGTGCACATTATACCGTCAGGGTGCTAATAATTGGTTATTGAAATAAATACATTTAAATAATTACGTAAGGACACATTCTGCTCAGTTTCCGTTAATCTGTCATTTTATTTTTCTAACAAATTCTGTTATACTTCTGTTAATAAGTTGCCGGCAAAATTTACAGCAGACATTACGCAGAAACTACTTCTGAAAATTTGATTATTTTGGAATTTTTTTTTACATTATTAAATTAATTTTTCAATACTTTACTACAATTTACTACAATTAATAGCGTATATAAATGATATTTCCTCAGTCTGAAAAAGTGCATCGCACCACATATGAGTCTAAATGGTACATCACTGAGCCACAAGTAGCAAAAGATTTGACATTGATCATGCTGCGTGCGAACAAACCACTCCATATCACAGCAGGGAAAACATTTCCCTTGACAATGGCCACATTTTGCAGCGTAAGTTTTGTAAATTACAACAAGTTTATAGCATTATTATATTTTCTGCAATAATTCAAAAAATTTTCTTAAATTTCAATGTTTTGTACATTCAATAATATGTTATAGCTTAATAAATGAAAAACATTTAATTACAGATATACGAGGTCTGGCTATTAAATAACGATACTGCTTATGAAAAAGAGTTTTATTTTAAAAGTTATTCTACAATCGAATGCTCCCCTTCAATATACTCCCCTCTCCTCGCCACACACCGTTCCATTCGTTTTTTCCATTGGTCAAAGCAATGCTGGAAGTCTTCTTTTGTAAGTGTATTTAGGAGCTCCGCCGATTTTCGCTTCACTTCTTCCATCGACTCGAACCGGATTCCTTTTAAGACAGACTTGATCTTTGGAAACAAGAAAAAGTCACAGGGTGCTAAATCAGGCGAGTACGGCGCATGTCCGAGCACTGGAGTGCCTCTAGCGTCTAAATAACGCTTCACAGACAGCGCGTTATGGGTAGGTGCATTGTTCTGGTGCAAAATCCACGACTTGTTTTTTCACAACTCCGACCGTTTCTTACGAACTCGCTCTCGCAGTGTTGCCAAAACTTTCAAATAGTAAGTTTGGTTTACAGTTTGACCCTCTGGAACCCATTCAGTAATCACGATGCCGTTGATGTCGAAAAAAACGATTAGCGTGGTTTTAAATTTTGATTTCGACATCCTTACTTTTTTCATTCTTGGGAATGCAGGAGGACACGCGCACGAGATAGAGAATTCTCACCATAGGCCTCTTTCAACGAGTTATAGCACTCAGTCGTAGTTTTTTTTTATTTAACGAGTAATTTCACATTGATCCGTCGCTCGTATTTTTCGTCACACATTGTTATCGGCACGAGAAAAAAACACGTTCGTTTGTAACCTCTATAAAAAAAATACTACTACAGCGACAAAAACGAGGTTTCGTACTGGAATAGTAGACACTTCCACCTATCCAACCCTCTAGGACGACTTCTGCGCGCGCAGTCTCGTTATTTAATAGCCAGACTTCGTATGTACCAAAACCCGATTATTCATTTTTTATTTACCATTTTTTATTTTATTTCAATGTTGCAGTTATTAAAAACATCGGCAGGCTATATCTCCGTCTTACTTGCCAATCGAGATTAACGACATTAATATTAGTATAAAATTTAATTGATATTTTAGTATGATATAACAATATCAAAATAAAATGTAATTTATTATGTATATTTAATACGTGTCAAACATGACTATATGTAGAAAATATGAGATTGCTATATATTTATTGCTATATATTTATTGAAAAGAAAAAATCGTGTTAGGCAAATTGTGCGACTAAAGAAATTGTAACTTATTTTATAATTACTTAGAAACCGAAATTTTAACACTGTTGTTTACATATATTTGTAATTACATATATTTGTATAGTTACATATATTTTGAAAGGTTTAAACCCAATCGATTTGAATATTCATATTTTGTATATACTATACAAACTGTTGAATTGTTCACTTTATGCCACTTGTTTCAAATGCATCCGCGTTACAATTATTCCCTGAGTTTATAGCCCGCTAAACTTTCACCGTCCTTCTCGTTAAGCGGCTATATCACGACAGCTGCTGAAGAAGACTCTACAGCTAAAGATTCATCAATACTACACCATCTAAGGCACTCATTTAAGAGTAATTCTTTCTTAAAGTAACCAAATTTATAGTGGGATAAAACATATCGACAAGGTGCAATTATTCCACGCTTCTCTTGAAATTTTCAGCGGTCTGGCTCGCTCCCTATCGTCATGTTAAAATTTCGTTGCCATCATAGTCGCAACTCTTCATACACAAAAGGTAACTAAGAAACAGAACGAACGAATAACAAGCGATAAAGAATGCAATATATCGCCGGCCGATGGACACCACACGTTTCGTGCGCTCTCGCGATTATAACTTATTCATCTACCCTTTTGCCAGTTAAGCACGTTGACAAGACGATAATATATCCCCATATTCGGCATGCCCGTTCTGGCTGCTAAAATATTGACGACTTTGCTAGTCGAACTTTTACGTTTCGAGAATTTCGTCGAAAGTATACGCAACGGTAGTCTTCCAAAATGGGGGTAATTATTCGTCGGCAAAGAGATACAGTGCCCTTTTGGCTTTTGACATGTATCGTTCAAATGGATATAATGGTGCACTTCTTCACTATTAGTTAATAATTTCCAAAGCAGTTAATACATATATAATAAGTGTTCCGATAACTTTTTTATTGTGACATTCAAATGTGATTACATATCACGGTTAACGATAACATTTTCTCAAAATTCTAACGCGCAAAATTAAATTTTAATATTTATTAAATTATAAATTATAAAGTAAAGTTAAATTATAAAATTTTATTAAATATCAAGTCCAGTTTTACGGTGTAATTTGCGCAAATCGCGTAGACATATTTCTAATGCGTTTTAATTTATGCATTTCATAAAATTTAGATTTAAAATGGGCGATCGGTCTCAATCGCCGCATGCTGAAAATGATCGGCTTGTGGCCGCCAGACATCAATGATATGCGTGAACCGTTATTTTCGAAACTCCGTCGGTTATTCAATATCACGTTACTGATTTTTGTACTTATAATACCGGCCATAATGTCATTGATTAGAGTATGGGGTGACATGATACTAATGATAGATAATTTGCAATTCACTTTACCTCTGTTGATAACAATATTGAAAGTATCAATTATGTGGAGCAAAAAGGAAGGTAAAAACTATTTAAGAACTTGATATTTATAGCTCTTGCTTCAATATTTATTGAAAACATTTAAGGAAAAAATATCTTAAAGAGTTATTGAATAATGCTTAACACTTCGACCGTTTTATGGATCATAGACCCGGTAAGTTGTGTTTAAAGAACTGTAGCAAAAAGAAAAACTAAGAGTTCTCTCCACTCTCGAAAAATTATTAAAGAGTTTCTCTATTAATTAAACGCGATGCAGATTTGATAAGTTGAGTAATACGTGTTTAGCAGCCATCCGAATTTAACACAAGGTCAGTTAATCTATAATGTGAGGTCCGTGTATAATTTAATACTAGAAGTGAAGTGATTTCCTTTATTGAAAATTTGTATGTAAACGTAAGCCTTATGATTACGCGTAATTTTTTTTTAATAAGAAATAATATTGTTTTATTAGGGTTGTATAAGGTTAAGATGACTTTCGCCGCAATTCGCGTCCGCGTCGGTTGCGGGACTTCTTCGCTCCGCATTCGCGCGGCAGCGGACTCACCTCAGCTAGCTCAGTTTATTTCGCTAAAAGCGAGTCAATATTCTCTCGCTATCTCTCGTGGTAGAGCGTTGTGGTTCTTACACGTTCTTCCTCGATTCCGCGGACCCGTCGGAGAGGAGCCGGGAGAGGTAATAATTTAGAGACCGGTCAACAGTAACAATAACAACATTTTAATTCAATTCGTCTCAATTTTCCGACAACTAATCCATTCCACAATTAATAATCGTAACCGAAGGTGATATCGAAATAACGATTCTTGAATTAGCCTGAGTTCTTTAATTACAGCCAGATAAATTCAAAACCACGGGAATTTCCGCAACACGATCGAAAGAGAGCGATCTCTCGCCTGAGATGTTCCGCGAAATGCTTCGTTTTATGCGGCGGATCTGAACCGCTTGACGGCAGCTATAATAACGCGCGTCGTGTAAACGACAAGCTTTCTTGCCCGGCGTCGTTACGCCTACCTCGCCGGGTTTTCCGTTGGGCACCAGCCGGGTCTTTCCCGACCCGAATATTTACTGCTTCCGTCCGATCACGTACAATCCGATCTAGTTCTTTGCCAGAAGCAGTTTTCAAATACAAACATAGGAATTCCTGGCACGACTCAATATACAATATATAATACAATACCGTCAACAATTTTCCGCGAACTGTGCGACCGGCAACTAGAGAAGGCAACCGAGTCACGCGCCCGAGTCTCCGGGACCCCTACGTTCGAGACTTTTTCAAGTATGGCTCTTGTCGCCCTGCGATATAGCCTCCTAAATCTCGTAAGCCCGTGCGACCCTACCTACCGGTCGCCACGGACCTCCAACGAGTTCAACTTCCTGGTTCTCTTATCGCGCCGAGAAGCGACGGCAACTAACCCGGAATTACACACAACTCTAAATCTTTTACCCGCGGCTGTACAATGATTCCCTTCCTCACTCCTCGCCGCGCGAAGCTCGCCTATCCTCAGGACTTGTCTTGATATTTCGACCGCTTCGCTCGCTCGTTATCGAGAGGGACGTCCATTCCGCTCGCCGCTGGAATGCACAGTGTGCCTCTCAGGACTCCGTCACCAGCTTCCTTTAGCGCAGGAGGCAGCCGTTGCACGAATCCATCACGCCGCTCGATGCGGCATCCGATTGGTCCTGCCGGCTAGATCACGCGTATCAAGGGTGCTCTCGGGAACTTCGCGTCTGTTGTTGTTATCTCAACGCATGTTTATCCGTGTTCTTTCCCGGGACGACATTCGGCAACTGTTGAGCTCGCAGACGTTTAAAAGGACCCTCCCCCCCCCCCCC